ACGCTATATAACATAATGTTTTAACGATGAATCATTTAGCGATGTTAGTTACTTTATAAAAATTGTATTTATGTTTATTTGAATACCATATGTTATTGATCATACAATTATTCTCTTTTAAATCGTTTAATTGTATCCATAATATCCTAATTAAAGTGTTTTTTTTGTTATAAATGTATAACTTTACAAATCAAACATTAATGTTAGATTTTTAAAAATCATCATTTTCACTTTTTATTATATTTTTGATTTAAAAAAATTTACATACTAAGGCGATATTTTGGGTTTGGTGAGCTCAACTAAATTTGAGAGAACTCATAATTCCAAACGTATTCGATTTACATTAAACGCTTACATTCACTCTAAGTGTCGTGTAGATTAAATTTTGTAAGATAAAATATATTTACCTATATGGGAGTTATATATACCATTCAATTTTTTTTATTTTTAATTTCTTCTGTATATATAAATATTATAATCCCGTGTTTAACGTGAGATAAAAAAAATCTAATAATATATTTGTAAATAATTACTTGAATAATAAAAAAAATTATCGGCTGTATACAAGACCACTAAAGCCGGAAGCTTCGAATTTCTTTATACTATTTACATATTTTTAAAAGATCGATGAAATTTCAATTGCGTAAGAAAATTTCAAATTTCATCTCAATTACATATTCTTAACATTATTTTATATGTGGAGGGCCGAATATTAGGTTCTAAGTAGGACCCACATTTCCCCCCGCCTATAAATTCCCAAATAAAACCCGTCAAACACATGCAACAGAAAAACACTACACGTACGTAAGAAATAAAACAAGCGCAAGAACAATCCTTGTTCATTGTTCAATATTCTCAAGTCTGTTCACACACATATATATATATATGGACCAAGGAGGTCGTGGTGGCGGAGGAGCGGAGCAAGGGAAGTACCGAGGAGTTCGAAGACGGCCTTGGGGCAAATACGCGGCGGAGATACGAGATTCAAGGAAACATGGTGAACGTGTGTGGCTTGGAACGTTCGATACCGCCGAAGAAGCGGCTAGGGCGTATGACCAAGCTGCTTTCTCCATGAGAGGCCAAGCCGCGATTCTGAACTTCCCTCATGAGTATAACATGGGGAGTAGCGGGGGCGGCGGCTCTTCCGCGGCCACGGTGGCTGGATCTTCCTCCTCATCAGTCTCCGCTTCTTCTTCTAGGCAAGTTTTTGAATTTGAGTATTTGGATGATAGTGTTTTGGAGGAGCTCCTTGAGCATGGAGAGAAACCTGACGAGGGCAAGAAGAAGTGATGAGTGAAAGCAAGAAACTGAAGAAAGTATAAGAAACAATTAACTAGTATTATATGCAAATAAGTTATATTCAATGATCTTGTGAATTGTGATCATGATTTGATGTTTTGGGATGAAATTGACCGATTACTGATTTGGAATAAATGATAATATATATATGATTTAATTTGGGAAACATGAGGTTATAGTGCCGTGCC